AACAAATGGAGGTAATTTTTACTGTTACTATTTTTGCCAAATCAAAAGAAGGAGGATTACAATGCACTAAACTGGTCTGAAATTTGTCTCTATTTCCCTTAATCTTCTTTGGAACCAGTTCAGTTTCTCTGCCAGCGTACAGTGTTGATGCAGGATTTCCATTTCTAGACTCCTCTCCTTTTTTTTTTTATCGAGCTTTCTACTGTGTAACCATTTCATTCTCTTCCGCAGCATGACTCATATAAAGAACTTTCCCCTACCCAATGCATTAACTGAAAGTGGAGGCTGGACCTAATAAATTATGAAAGAATAGCATCAAATGTTGGAGTTCTGAATTTGTTTTTACTGATAAATGGGATTTTCAAGCTTTAATGGTATGTTTTCTATCTTAAGGTCCTGGAGTTTCACTATTTAGTTTTCCAGATTGAATGAGGTTATGTGGTTTTTATTTGCTAATAAAAGATTAATTTGGTTGCTAAAAAATCAATTTCATTCTGCTTTCTGAACATATTTTACTTCTCAGCTCCTGCAGGAAGTTAAAAACTGGATAGCATTTCCTCTCATAGGGAGCTGGCAAAGGCCTCTTAACTTATTATAGCATTCTTAAGATATTCTAGCATTGTTTGATTGATATTTCCTAACCTGAAACTTTCCATTTTTCAGAGTTATTTTTCACTGCTCATAATAATAGGGACAAACTGGTCATTGAAATCCATTAATTATAATTTTAATTAGATTATTTAATTGCATATAAGTGATTGTAGAAGTCCTTTTGGGAGACTGTGTAGCCCACTCCTTTCTTCCTTGGGAACTTCTCTGAGAGTCTCATTTGAACCACGTAATATTGTCTACTTGACCATGACTTACCAATTTGGGTTTCATTGGAATCCAACATGACTTTGAATAACTTGCTTATTATTTTTTGAAGTATTCAAATTGGCTGTTTAAAATATCCAGGCCTATGTTTGCTCTTGTATATTTTCTGGATAACTATCAACTATACAATTCAAGATTAAATCCTGTTTACCAGACATTTGGTAAAGATAATTTGCATGCAAATGACTCCTGAATATTTAAGACTTGGTTATGCACAAGTGCAAAAGGCTAAAATAAAATTTATAATTGGCATTGTATCTTGAAGTCAGTAATAATTAGAAGCTTTTCACCTTTTCCAGAAAGTCAATAGTACTTCTTGGATAATACTAAAACACAGAGGCAATTTGCATGGTGATAAAATATGTAAGCTCTGAAGCCAGACTGAACACTTTGATTAGGTCTGCCACATCCTAGCATGTGCCCTTGAACAAGTTACTTTTACATCCCATAATTCAATTTCTGTAAAATGGGTATAGTAGTGGTGTCTTACATAATAAGACTCCTGTGACATTTAAATGCATTAATACATTCAAAGTGCTTTAAATAGTATTTGACACATAGGAAGCACTCAAGAAATTATGATTATCACAATTACTATTACTATTATTATTTTGATCCCATAATTATGTATTTTAAATTTCCTCCATTGATTTTCTTACTAACTAAACAAGTTCAGAATGTGGTTACAATATACAAACATGGCACATATAAGAGTTTTATAGCTTTATTCCAGCATAGAGGACATCTCTTTTATTCAGAACTATTTCATGATAACAACTTGGGTTCCATTTCAATCTAGTTAATTTCATCATTTTCATGAATGTTCCAGCCTACATGGAACACAAAATTATATTCTCATAAAATATAAAAAGCTTCCTGGTCCACATGCCTTGCCAGGACCTTCATGCACGGAAGGGCAAAGCAACACTTTAAAAGAGTTCAGCACCATTGCTGAGAAATATAACACATAATATTTGCTTGCAGATTATCATCTCTGTTAGGAAGCTTGAAAACAGAATATCACTGTGTCCTACAAGATGTTATAGCACATTTGGTGAACTGCTCTTTATGAAGGCTCCAGAGAGGTGTCCTGTGTTTGGGTCAAGATAAGTTTAGCTCTGCATTTTCTGCCCTGTTCTAGCAAAACATCTCCCTTTGCTTTGGACAAAAATATTCCAATACAGCTGCAACAGAGTGACATAAAAAGCATCATATCAATTTACGTTTCTCTATTGATTTCTTCAAACCTCATTAAACTTTGTAGATATGCATATCATGTAATTTTCAGCTCTAACAGATTTAGGATGTAATGGGTAATGGGTTATTTATCAGAAATAAATTCATGATCATTTTTACTCTCCCATTTAGATCCAGGACATAGTTATGTATTTTTTAGCTTTTGGCTGGGAGAGGAATGTCCAAGTTATTTGTCCTTGAGGATAATCTAGAATGTGAAGTGGAATTACCAAGTGATAGAGTGATGACAGAGTTTGAGTGTAGGTAGCACAAGCTTAAAATTTTAACCTTTCCTGGCAAAGCATACATATTTCTATTGCAGGAGCCCTGAGAAACCCTTTAGCTTTTTCCTTTCATAGGCATTTGTTGAAACATTATTATATACCAGACACTGAGTTTACTGGTCGGAGAGATCCCCAGATGAATCATGTCTCTCTCTTTTTTTTTTAAAAGTGCTAATGGTTTAAAAGCAGCTCTAGAATCCCAAACTATAAATGACAGCATGATGTGGGAAATACTATATAGGAGATTATGTACAACATGTGATTTGAGAATAGGACAAGAGGAGATTAATTCTGTCTGAGAGCTGAGGTTGTTGCTAAGAGTATGTTTTCAGGGAAGTTATAAGTTCTATGTTGGAGAATAAATAATAGCCTTCCAGGCAGAGAGAGGGGGTCAGGACTTTGAAGCAGGGGAATAAACATGTATAACTACATGGATTCCAGAGGAAATAAGGCATAGTTGGGGAAAAGTGAGACACTGTCGGAGGAGGTCATTGAGAGGGTGTGATTGATGATCGAACTGAGAGCTGAACCCGGGCAATCAGAGGCTCTTCACCCTTTCCCTGGCCTTTGAAATATATTTGTTCTGCCCACTGTTGCCACAGTCAGAGCCGTTTTCAAGGACTCTTGAAAGGTGTTGTTGAGACCATCTGGATGGTATATGCGACTAAACCCAGTTAAGGCCTCTCCGTAAACTGTTAAGATTCTGGTGTGCAAGTGTGGAGTGGAGATGTAGTCAGCGTGGTGCCACCCAGGACAAGTCCCATATGTACCTTCCCTTGTTTATTAAACCTGTACCTACCAATCTGAAGTGGTCTGTCTCTTTCTTTAGTATCTCCTTGTCACCTGTGTCTGGGTACTAGTTTCTTATTACACAGGGACTCTCCTTAGTCTGTGAATCAACAGATATCCAAACCAAACATAGAAGGCTGGGCCCAGAAATGTGTGAAAGAATCGTAGTAAAATAAAATAAGCCCCAAGAGATAGATTGGGATCTGACCGGGAAGAGCTGTGGAAAACATGCTGAGCAGTTTGATTGTTCTGTAGGGAATTGGGTGATGTACTTTTTATTTACGAAGATAATTGGAATATGTATGTTGACGATAGATGGAAGGGGGAGACATTAGTGGAGAAAAGTCCAAACAAGAGATTGCAGCACTCAGTGTGAGAGATAATGAAGTTGGCAACAGAGTTACATAGTAAGGGCAAAGAAGAAATAAATACAGTGGTGCCTCGCATAAAGAACGCCTCGCACAGCGAACGCTGCACACAACGAACTTCATTTCATGATTCATACAACGAACTTCGTTTCACACAACGAAGTCGCCCGAGCTTCCACGACCGCTTTGCCCAAGCTTCCACAACTGCTTCGCCCGAGCTTCCACGATCGCTGCCGATGTATTGCATCCTTCCGCGCAGGCACTGCAGGCAGTCGTTAGTCACTGCGCTTAACTTAAGCACGTATCGCGGCAATCGTTCTTCATTACGAATTAAATCACGCACGTATCATGGCAGTCGTCCTTTTAAGTTAAACTCAATATTTTTTTTATATCATGGCTTCTAAAAAAAGCAGGAAGGTGATTTCTGTTGAAATGAAACAGGAAATAATTAGAAGGAGTGAATGTGGGGTAAAACAGTGTGACCTCGTCAAAGAGTTTGGCCTCAGCAAGACCACCATTTTCACCATTTTGACAAATAAGGATGCAATCATACAGGAATACTTTAGAAGGTAGAAAAAACATGCATTGCTAATTGGATGAGAGCAAGAAAGATAGGATGAAAATATTTGATGACAATACAACAAATAATGAAAATCTAAATAGAGAAAGAGCTGGGGTGTGGAGACTGATTAGGAGCAGGGCCAGCTGTGGGGAGGGGCTGTGAGCAGTGGGCTGGCGGGCCCTGCTCCTGATCGGGGGTCAATGGCTGTGGGAGGTTGGCCAGGCCAGCTGCACCCTCGATTAGATTAGTGTATGTGGGGTGATTGAGGGTGGAACTGGCTATGGGGAGGGGCTTCAGGTCAATTGGGGTAGTGGGGGCTGTTTGGGGGCAGGGCTAGCTGGGGGGAGGGGCTGCAGGAGGTTGGCCACAGGATGCACCCCCTGATCAGGCTGTTTCTCTGGCTGCAGTGGCCTGATAGCAACCGGTTGTTCTGGATGTTAAGGTGTTACAGTTGCTGGCTTTATATATATATATATATATATATATATATAAAATCAGGTATTCTTTCTAAGGAATGATTTTATTATTTATTTATGGAAGAAAGAAAATAGGTTTGTCTGTGGAGCAATATCATCATAACACCACTTAGCTTTTTGAGAGCAGGAACTTGATATCCTGTTGCTATCCACTGAGTCTCACTTGGCTCCTGAGTTGCAACCTAATTGCTGTTAAAGAGAGCCTCTTCTGATATTTTGGCTCCTGCTCAGGTTCCCAAGCCTGATTTCCCCCTGTCTATTAGTTCATGGTTTAGATCCTGTTTTAAGATTCTGTTACAAAAATTTGTATTGTTCCTCAGACTGTCTTTCATTTGCCCTAGGAACTTGAACCCTTACTCCTATTATTTTAATTTGTCCTGGTTCTGAAGAGTGGATGGAGTTACCAAACAGCCTATCTGTTGTGTTGAATATTCTAGGTACTCATCCCACTTGAGTGGGCAATTTGAGGATATGTCTGGGCTCTTTCCTATACTTGAGATATCTGACAATAAATAAACAGCCCTATTTCACAGATGAACACTGAGAGAGAACATTGTCAACTCCAAGCTTTAAACAGATTTTCAAGTATTTCTGTAATCTAAAAGGTTATATGCCAACAATTTTTTTTAAAATATATTTTATTGATTTTGTACAGAGAGGAAGGAAGAGAGATAGAGAGTTAGAAACAGCGATGAGAGAGAATCATCGATCAGCTGCCTCTTGCACATCCCCTACTGGGGATATGCCCGCAACCAAGGTAGATGCCCTTGACCAGAATCGAACTTGGGACCCTTCAGTCCCCAAGCCGACGCTCTATCCATTGAGCCAAACCGGTCTCGGCTATATGCCAACAATTTTAAAGAAAACATCTTATTTCATAAAGATTAATGGCTTAATATTTTTATCTATATGTCATCTGTTTATTTAAATTAAATTTAAATAAATTAAAACTTTTAAATTTAAAAAATTTAATTTGATAGAATTAACTTTAAAAATTTTTTATTGTTTAAAGTATTACATATAGTAGCACATATTTCTCCTTTTATCCCCCATTGACCTTCCCTCAGCTTCCCTTATCCCCTATCACATGTCCTCATTCCACCCCCCACTTAGTGTCTTGTGTCCATTGGTTGTGCTTATATGCAGGCATACAAGTCCTTCGGTTGACTTTTTAAAAATTGATTTGAGAGAGAGGAAGATAAAGGGGGAGAGAGGAAAAGAGGGGAGAGAAAGAGAGAGAGAGAAAGAGAGAGAGATCATCAGTTTTTTGTTCCACTTATTCATATTCATATTTATTGATTGATATTTGTATGTGCACTGACCGGTGATCAAACCTGAAACATTAGGCTATCAGAACGATATTCTAACTAACTGAGCTACACAGCTAGGGTTTAAAAAAACTTTTTAATAAAAGACAGAAAATATGATAACTTGGGTAGAAATTTAAGATCTTATTTACACTCGGCCTATAACTGGAATTCTTAAGCAATTTGCAGGGCCAACATAAATCTAGTCAAAAATTTCTCTCAAAGAATTGTGCTATCGATAACTGTCAAATATGTAATCTTAAATCCAAGGCAAGTTCACACTCTAGGCTCCATCTATAAGACATAAGGAAAAGGATACATTTCCACAAACCCTTTTGATACTTCCAATCTGTCCATCTGAACAGATGTCACTAATTTGGTTAAAGATTCATCTGTGTTTGCTTCTGGCTTGACAGGAGCTCAGGCTGCAATAGTCAGCTCTTTTGAGATTCTGATGCTGCCAGGAGGCTGTTTTTATGAAACATGTTGAAGAAAGGATACTTATATAAAATGGGAACATTGGCCGAAATTGGTTTGGCTCAGTGGATAGAGCGTCGGCCTGCGGACTGAAAGGTCCCAGGTTCGATTCCAGTCAAGGGCATGTACCTTGGTTGCGGGCACATCCCCAGTGGGGGGTGTGCAGGAGGCAGCTGATCAATGTTTCTCTATCATTGATGTTTCTAGCTCTCTATATCTCTCCCTTCCTCTCTGTAAACAATCAATAAAATATATTTTAAAAAATAAAATAAAACGGGAACATTGCACTGGATTTATGTTCCTGTCGTTTAAGCCAGATAAGTGTCTGAAACTGAATCCTTATTTTTCTTATCCCAAATCCCTATTATGTACAGGGCAATTCAAAAAGAATCAAACACTTTAATAAATATATTACTTACTCAGTAAATTGGATTGAGTGGCCAGATTATTATGATCTCTGAACGCATAATAATCTGGCCACTCAGTGTGTGTGTGAGTGCGTGTGTGTGTGTGTGTGTGTGTGTGTGTGTGTGTGTGTATTAGAGGCCCAGTGCATGCATTTGTGCATGGGTGGAGTCCAGCCATCTTGGCCAGGGGAAGAGGACATGGGAGGTTGGCTGGCCTGCCTGCTGGTCGAATTTCTGGTTGAGGGGATAATTTTCATATTAGCCTTTTATTATATAGGATATACACTGATTGGCCAGATTATTATGCATTCAGAGATCATAATAATCTGGTTACTCAGTGTGTGTGTGTGTGTTTGGCCAGATTATTATGTATGTGTATGAATATATAGTCAAAGCAATTTGAAAAGAACAAGCATGAATATCATTACACATGTTCAACTTTATCTTTCCTTGCATAGGGCACATCTCAATTTTGTAGTCTAATTCTAACCATGCTGTTGCAAAGGGTAAGATCTCCTTTATTTGCACATTGTCTTCCATGATTTAAATGGGTTCCACCACTTGTTTCTTTTTTTTTTTTTGAAAGTTATGAGAAAAAAATGTCACAATATCATTTAATAATTTATTGCTCTCAGAGTTGTGGTTTTCTATCTTGGAAACTGGGTATCTGGTCTTCAAGTATTTATTATATACTAGTATATGGAGTATATATATGTGTGTATATTTTTTACTTTTCATAAATATTATTTATCATAGTTTGAGATATATTATAATAATAAAATAAAAGTGGAAGTAGTTATATTTCTTGAACACTGTTAGAAAGTACTAAACAAATGTTTATCTTGCTGATTATTAGGCAATAATATTATAGTATTATTTTATTCTAATTTTAAATATTTTACAAATGGCAAGTATAAGGACAATAAAAATGATAAAAAGTAATAAATATTTTGAGATGCTCTGAGAAATTAGCGCTTTTCTATCTGATATAGATGTACATAAGATGTCTTAAATATGACTTTTCTTACTAAAAGGTCTTGAGCCAAAATGTATATTTTAAAAATGGATTTAAATAATAGAAAGTGGGGAAATTGCAATATTTTATATCACATAGGCCATTAATCTGTCACCCACAGACAATGTAGATATAAACTTGCAAGTTAACTATGCATAGATGACTTGGAGAAAATTATATTTGTTGTTAAACTGTAGAACAGCAGTGTATCCAAGGTACAATGATTTATAAGAAAGGTTTGATTAATGGAGACAACTTTAAACTATCAGTATTTATATAATTAATTTCACATAACTAAGTGATGCACAGTATTTAGAAATTAGTGTTGAGTTATATTGCACAAAATACAAGAACTATTATATCAGAGTCAAGAGAGAAGATGTCCTTGAATCAACTTCAAGTTCACACTATAACTCTAATTATCATTCTTTATTTAATTAAAAAAATATATTATCCAGATTTAGTCTTTGAATGACCCCAATGTCTCACCATTGAATATCATTCAATTATTTTACTTAATATTTACATTCATGGAATAACAGGCATTTAGTTAAAAATTATTGTTGATTTCTGTTTAATGTCATACTAGAGTATTCTTCATTTTGAAAATACGTCTATTGATTTTTTTAGAGAGAAAGGAAGGAGAGAAACATCAATGTGAGAGGGGAAGAGCAATTAAATGCCTCCTGCACAGCTCCTACCAGGGATCAAACCCACAATCCAGGCATGGGCTCTGACTGGGAATAAAACTGGCAACCTTTTGGTGTGTGGGATGATGCCCATCAATTGAGCCACACCAGCCAGGGCAAGCCAGTATTTCTAATAACTTTTTAGAAAATTATGATATATATATATATATATATATATATATATATATATATATATATATATATATAAAAGATCAACTCTAGATGTCAGAATAATCTCTAAAAGCTAAATGATTGAACTTAGCTTTTCACCATGTTCCATGCAAGATGTGCATTTCTAAAAATTCTTCCCTGAGATATGAAATTCAATGTGTCTGTTAGAGAACAGAAGTGAAGGAGCACATTAATATTTAGAAATGTATTTTAAACACACATGAGATAAGCATTATGAGCCAGAGCTATCAACCTTGAAAAACTTGGGAAACATAAAATGCTCTCTGGAAGATCAGAATAAATGATTATTAAATTGCAATCCTGGAAAATGAAATATAATTTCAATATGGTAGAAAGGCAATAATGTGAAACAACTGGTCGCTATGACAAGCGTTGACCACCAGGGGGCACATGCAGAACACTGTGGGCATTGGCAGCAGGAGGCAGAGCGTGAAACATAGTGGGCATCAGCCGAAACCGGTTTGGCTCAGTGGATAGAGCGTCGGCCTGCAGAATGAAGGGTCCCAGGTTCGATTCCGGTCAAGGGCATGTACGTTGGTTGCGGGCACATCCCCAGTCGGGGGTGGGCAGGAGGCAGCTGGTCGATGTTTCTCTCTCATCGACGTTTCTAACTCGCTATCCCTCTCAATTCCTCTCTGTGTAAAATCAATAAAAAATATATTTAAAAAAAAAAAAAAAAAAACATAGTGGGCATCAGCCACAGTGGGATGGTAGAGCAGGTGAGAGGGGATGTCAGACTAATGCAGGGCACTGGTCACTGTCAACAGGACGAGCCTCTGGTGGTTACTGGAAATTCTTTGCTCCTGCATGCTGCGGTCCCTCCGGGTGCTCACACTGATGCAGGCACCGGTTCCAATCACTCTGAGCTGTCAGCAGCTGCAGGAGTGGGGCTGTTGGCAGACAAGGATTGGTGGCTGTGGCAAGAGGGGCTGGGCAGGAGGTGCAGAGGATGGGCTGAGACCTGCCCTTGTGCCCACCACAGCCTCGTGGCCTACACAGTTCCTTTCAAGGTGCACGAACCTATGCACTGAACCCCTAGTATCATATATAAGGTTACCATAAAATTATCATGCAAACCAAGATACATTTGAACATGAATAGGAGCTCATACATTATTGTCTTTCTCTGACTGGCTTATTTCATTTAGCATAATGATCTCCAGGTCCATCCATGCTGTCACAAAGGGTAATATTTCCTTCTTCTTATGGCCACATAGTATTCCACTGTGTAAATGTACCTCAGCTTTTTTACCCACTCATCTCCTGGGCTCTTTTCACTTCATGGCTATCTTATACTCTAAAACCCTAATATGCAAATTGAATGGCGAATGACTGGTGGAATGACTGGTCGCTATGATACACACTACCGCGCCCCCCCCACCCCAACAGGAAGGCAATCACAGTGGCGATTGGGGAGCGGGGCTTGCCAGTGGGTGGTGACAGGCTGCCAGCCAAGGTGGGTGCCAGCATTGGCCCTCTGATTGCCCTGCCCGCTGGTCACTTCACAGATGCCCCTGATTAAAGGCCAGGCCTAGGAACCCTACCCTATATTTTGAGAACAGTCTCTTAGACTTAAAAATTAAGACCTGGCTAGGCTACTCTAACACTGAAAAAACAGGATGATGCAGCGATGACATGCATGGACTCTGGTTTGCACGTTTTGTGGTCAGCCCTAATTCTGACACATATAACTGTGTGACAAAGCCAGTTAACTTCTCTCTGCTTCAGTTTTCCATCCATAAGCTGGGGAGAATAGCACTATTATAATCAGGGCAAAAAAATGTAGCTGCCCATACAACAGCAAGATGCTTCTCACCTTTATGAAAAGTATGGTCACTGGTGCATGCAATGTCTAGGATTGTGAGAGGGATGTCCAATTGCTGATTTAGACCTGTGGGGATTGGGCCATCCCCTAAGAGCTCAAGAGGGGATGAGGGACCCTCCTCCTCCATGCATGAATTTCATGCATTAGGCCTCTAGTTGTAAATAATGCTCCTATGAACATAGGAGTGCATATATTCTTTCAAATAGGATTTCAGAATTCTTAAGATATATTCTCCGAAGTGGGGTTGCTGGGTCAATAGGCAGTTCCATTTTTACTTTTTTGAGGAAACGCAGTACTGTTTTCCACAGTGGCTGCACCAGTCTGCATGCCCACCAACAGTGCACTGAGGTTTCATTTTCCCCACACCCTCACCAGCAAAGATATTTTTAATGAATGTCTGGGCTAACATTCTACTCCAAATCAGCAGAGCTATAATCTCTCTGAACATGTAACATCCTTTATATGCCTCTTTCCTCCCAGTGGAATAGAAAAATAAATAATAATTTTCTTTTTTTAAGTTTTTTTTTTATTGATTTTAGAGAGGAAAGAGAGAATCATTGATAGCTGCCTCCTGCATACCCCACACTGGGGATCAAGCCTACAATCTGGGCATGCGCCCTAACTGGGAATTGAACTGTGACATCCTGGTTCATAGGTCAATGCTCAGCCACTGAGCAATGCTGACTGGGCAGAAATAATAATTTTAAGGCATTGTGTGGAAGTTTAAAATTACTATACAATTTCCTAATATTACATTTTTTTGTTGCTACACAATAACACATAACATTACATTGCTAATGGCACATAACTTATTTAAGCAATTTAGATGGTTTACAATATTTTACCATTATGAACAGTAATTATTTATAAGCAATATAAATGTCATTGCATTTGTGTCATTTCATGTATGTATGTATGTATTTCTGTAAATTCAGAGACATGATATCACTTGTCAAAAATATATGCATTCAATGTGTTTCTGAACTCTCAAAAAGTTTAAGCCATGGAAACTCTCTCTATGACTTTAATATTTCATTGCTAAATGATGATGTCTCATAACATTTCCCCCCTGAAATTTAGTCACTTCTTAAGCGATTATTTTAATTTTAAAGCAATATATCTTAGAATTTTGTGTTTGCAATGTGGAGCAAGGAATAAAAAAATAAAGCTAAAAAGAACATAATGAATAGGTTGTAATACAAAGAAGATAATTTGATGGTAACATTACTGCCTTTTTTATTCGATTGGGGCTCAGAAACAATTAATTTTCCTTATGTGTGACAGAATCACTTGTATTTATTAAGTAATTTCTTGAGCCTTGTTTCTATCCATCCTAAAATGGCACTCATCTCAATGTGCTCTTCAAATAAAGTACTAATTTCCAGCAAATCACTATAATTAATGCTAGTTAATTATTTTTATACTAGAGGCTCAGTGCATGAAAATTCATGCACTGGAGGGGGGCAGTCCCTCAGCCTGGCCTGTCCCCTCTCACAGTCCAGGGGCCCTCAGGGGCGGGAGGTGACCCAGCAATCAGGGGAAGGTGACACCTCATCACATCTCTGCTGCAGTCACTGTCGGCAGTGCGAGCCTCGGCCGGCCCTGGTTACCTGAGCCTTGGGTGGTCCTGGATGGCTGGGAAGCTGCTATCCAAAGCTTGTCTGCGTCTCGGCCGTTGGCTGGGCAGCCGCCATCTGAGGTTTGCCTGTGTCTCAAGCAGGCCCTGGGCGGCTGGGATCTGAGAGTGGGTCCAGCAGTACCATGTGCCTGCTGCCCTCCAGTTGGGCTGAAAGCACTGTGGGACTATGTTGGGAATGAGGGGACTGGGCGCCACCATCTTTGTGATGGCTTGACAGTCAATTTGCATATTCCCTGTTTATTAGATAGTATTTCTCCTGCCTTGTGCTATGTTTCTTCTCTTTCCGGGACTCTAGGTATGCTTACATCAGACATTTTTACAGATTTTCCCTGCATTTTCATCTTTTTGTCACATTCAGTATTAACAGGAATGTTTTTTTCTGACCTATATTCTAGTTCACTAAGTCTCTTTTCAGCTGTTACCCAATTCCCTGTAAAAACAAAACGTTGAGCTCTTAACTTCAGTAACCTTCTTTCGAAGTTATAGAGTTTGCCTTTGGTTATGTTTTACAATCCGATTTCTACCAGAACTCTAAATCTCATCTTTTGTATCCTCAAGCATATGAAGTACAGTTACATTTGAACCCATTTTTGTTTAATTCCATCCTATGTGCTCCTTGGTGGTGCCTTGCCATCATCTCCTTGGCATTTATCTCTAAGGTCCAAGCAGTCTTCTGCCAGCCTCACTTCCTTCCTGCCTGCTCAGCTTTGTTTTGCCTATGAGAACATGCCTGACCTTGGCATAGTGCAAGCTGGAAATGTGGATAAGGTAATGCCTGCAGAAGTAGCATTCATGTAAAGATTGTTTGGAAGTTGATGAATGAAAACCCTGGTGGTTTCCTCACCTCTTGGGTGAGGAGACATGTTTCATAAAATCTCATTAAGGTTCCTAAAGAGACTGAACTTCAGTATATCCAATTGGCTCAACAATGCATCTTTTATCAGTTTTCTTCTTTTCCTCTTTCTTATATCTCCACTCCTCTAAAAATGTTTTCTCAGGTCATATCCTCTCAAATATATGTGTACTTGAATACCCATTTCAGGGCCTACTTCTAGGAGAAATCCATGTCACAGTGCTTTCTTTCTACTTGTGTGCTTGGTTCATGTTGATTGCAAGTTAGAAGTTGTATGTAAAATATTATAGAAAAAAAGAAAGTGTGAATGATACTATCTTTTAAAGGTGATTTAAGTTATTATTATTATTTTTTTTTTTAGCAAGAAATGCCTGTCTAAAGCAGTTGTTGACAATTGTTTTTATTTCTATATAGGCCCAGATACTACATATTTTGGGATTTGGGGCTATACTGCCTCTGTCATCACCACTCAGCTGTACCACTGGAGCAAGAAAGAAGCCAGAGAAATTGACAAACAAATGTGACCATTTCCCAATTCAAGTTACTTTACAAAACAGGTAGCAGGACAGACTGTCCCCATAGGCTATAGAGTTCCCTGACCTCTGGCCTATAGGAACTTGCAATTCCAGCTCATCTTAATCAAATAAGGGGGTAAGATTCCTTAAAGCTGACAAAGAAAAACACTGCAGATATTGCCTCCATGAAGCCTGCCAGCTACATTGAGGCAGCTGCCGAGTCTTAAGTTGTAAGATATTATTCCACTGCAATATTGAAACTTTTGTCCTAGTTTCATCCCTTTTCACTAATATAATAAACCAAAACCAACGCATGGCAAATTGTTGCCATCTGGACACCAATAAGGAACTAAGCCCTCCACTGTAACTCACATTGCATCTGCATGGGTATTGATGCTGATAGTTTTAAAAGAAGGACCTTACTTTATTATTGTCAAACTAGATACCCCTTGCAGGAAGATTCCTGCAATAGTCCTGCTGTGGTCGTGCCCTGCCAGCTTTTTCCTCCCTTCTCCCCACCCTGCCTGCTTCTTTCCCTTCTCCCACATCCCGCTTGCTTGCTTCTCTCCAGCTTCGCTCCCTTCTGCAGCTCTTGGCTTCTTTCTATGAGTCTTCAGTCTTAGCTCTTGGCTTCTTTCTATGAGTCTTCAGTCTTAGCT